AAGGCAAGCGGCAGGGGCTAAAAACCGCAGCCTGCAAGTTTCGCCGGAACCTGACCAGCTCAGTGCCAGGCCCATGCCTCGGAGAACAGAAGCCTCCAAGAAGCCTGTTCCAGTCATGGCCAGGGCGGGTAGCCGTCGGCTTGGAGCCGAAAGTCTGCTTCTTCTGCAGCAGCCCCAGCGCAATGGCCCGTGGTCAAAGTTGGAGACTTCCGGTAGGGTCTGGGGGCTGCTACCTTACTTGAGCTCGTGGGCTATAACGATAACGTAGATCCTACTTACTGTAGCCGAAGGCCTCGGTACCTCGCATTCTGCGATTCTGCCAAAAAGGCACCACCCACCAGTCCGGCCCGAAGCCATCGGAGCTCTCGTGGCTTTGTCGTGAGGTTTAGGGTTTATAGGGTTTAAGGTTTAGTGGTCCTTCTGTTGGATTTTTGGTGGCTTCTCCTCTTCTGCTGCTTGAGGTATGTTGCAGGCGGAAGTGCGATAACCAGCAAGAGCACCCAAGCATAGGCTAGCAGGCTAGCAATGCCAGGACCAAGACTTCGAAACATAGAGCCATGTCTTTGTTGGCGCTCTTCGTTCATCTTGGCACAGGTGGGCAGGATGGCCACATCGCCACCGAGTGTCCGAGGAATCCGGAAAGCCTCACCTACGACCGGCAGGATCGGCAAAGGGCGAAACACCGCAGATTGAAATTCGAGTTGCAGTGATTTAGTTTTGGCATTGGTGTGTGGGAGGGTGGCCGTCGAGAGTCGGCCAAGAGAAGATGAAAAGAATTGAATGTCTGCCCTAGTTTGAGTCTCTTGTTCTCCAACTGCTCTCGCGCCCTTCACAGCAAAGTTTTTTTCAAGACCGGCAATTAAAAGCCGAAAGCTGCAGTGGTTCAAACTTTCAGGCAGCCATGCGTGGCCTGGCGTTGCAGAACGTCGGGCGCCTGTCGGAGATGCTTTCCGAGACAGTTACGGAGCCTGAAGCACCCCAACAATTGTACTGCCATGTACTACCAGGACTCCTTTCAAAGAACTCCGAGGTAATCCCATAATCTAATCTAATCTAATCTAATCTAATCATATACAATACAATATAATGTATATAATACGATACAATACAATACAATACAATACAATACAGTATAATATATTGTAATACTATAATCCCGACCGCGTACTCTGGGATGTTGAGAGGATGATAGGCTCTCCAAGGGGCCAAGGGCTGCAGCGCAGTGAGCTGGGATCTCGGAAGCGAAAGTGTCCTCAAAGACGGAGCAACAAAATGATATAACATAGTATTGAGATGTATTGAGACATGATAGTGTTTATAGAATAGGCCATAACTTGACAAAAATACCATGTTTGAAATCTAACAAGACGGTACTATTCATACACCATTAGTGTATATGTATGTGTGTATATGTATATGTACATACATACATACATACATACATACATACATACATATATATATAAATATGTGTGTGTGTGTGTACGTGTGTGCACGTGTTTGTATTTGTGTACATACATACATACATACATACATACATACATTCCATACATTCCATTCCATTCCATAATGATAGAATCCGAATCAGATGCGCATGTAGCACGAATGAATTCGAAGCCCATGCACCCAATTAAACATTTATGGTGGCGCAGAAACCGAGGGGAAAAGAAGCATAGTGTGCACTCACCCGAACCGCGTGAGGGATTTCACCGGCAGCCTGAGGCGGGTGCACCACGCGTTCGGGCTCAAAAGCCCCAAAACCCCCCCTGAACTACCACGAAGGGGACCATCAAGCGGATGTGGTGAGGCTCCAGATTGGTCAGGAAGTCGGTAATGCCTGTGCTTTATCCGCTGTCCAAAAGGAGGCGCACCAGCAGACGGCATCCCGAACTGGATCCGATGCCTCTTTTGCCAACATTGCATAAACAGTATCCTTGTGTGCAGCTGCCAGAAAAGGGACTAATTCGCTGAAGCACCAAGTCGGAGAGGACGATCAGACCACCAGTCCTTTGCATCCGTGAAAGGAAGAGCTGCCAAAAAAAGACGTCCATGACCATCTGCTCTAGAACCGCCACAGCACAGCGGGAAACATGTTGTCACAAAGACAGACGTGTTGAAGCTTTTGAGGGCACCAGCTCCACCACCGAGAATCGTGTCCGGAAGCAGCTGGGTATCGGATTGGATGCCACACTCGAGGTAGAACCGCTCCAAGCAAGTGTTGCCGGTTTGGCTGCAGCATATATTCCCTGTAGAGCTATCATACCGCACACCTGATTGTTGGACTGAACCCTGCATTCCGAGATCCACAAGCGGCTCCCATGACCCACGCCAGTGAGCCGTATAGTCAAAGTCATCATGCAGCGGGGTGAAAAGTCCCTTGCCGCGATCTGGGTCCCTGCTGCCTTCAGAAACTTGTACAAGAACGCCCCCATCTCCCGCATCTGCCTGAGCAGCAGCAAGTGACCTCGCCACCACCTCCGCCGCAGCAAACGGTTTGATGCCAGCCTTCTGGTTACTCAGGTCTCCTCCAACGCACCGCTGTAAAGGTTCCCAATTCCATACAAGCTGTGCACCACAGATGCCAGTAGACACACTCGTCCCGGCATGTGCTCCCATCAACAAACAGGCAGTCTATCGCCCCGAATGTTACAAGGGCAGCAATCACCATAGCCACGAGCGACGTCCTCGTTATACGAGGGCCACTGCAAAGGGCCGCATGTGTTGCAGCGATTCTCCACAGCATGAGCGCGCCATTCTGATTTCCATATCTGGACGTACCGTCTTCCATATCCCATGGCAATGCTACACGGTACTTGGGGCACTACCACTGTTCCCGCTCCATCAGCGGGCGACTTGGGCCCTACATACATACATACATACATACATAAGAGTATTACATGTATATAGCAATTCGATTACGTGCCTTGCCGTGGCGAGACTCTTGAGGATGGCACGGCAGAGAGAGCCAGAGAGAGAGAGAGAGATTGCATGATCATATATTATAGGAAAGCGTTGTGTAGGGAAATTTAGTAGTACAGTATACTCGGCCCGGCATAGTCTTATAGTATAGTGGAGTATGGCTTTTTCGCATAGTGTGTCATGTCGCTTCATTTTGCAGAACAGGGTGTTTTGGTACAGCGCCTGATGCCTGACTCTCCAGGGGGAGATCAAAGCCATCACGGCGGGACGCTTGTTCTGATGCCACTGCGAAGGCCCAACCACTAGATTCACTAGATCATATGTTAAAGGATCAGCTTTCACCTTTGCTGGGATTGGAGGTCTGAGAATCAGGAAGCGCCAGCAAGAAAGACTTTTCCATGGAAGAGCCCAGCCAGCAAATCACATAGAATTCGTGTGTGGGGCCCGTTTCAACGACCCGACTGTGTCCCGACAGGGACACGGGCAGAGGCGCGAGGCGAGCTGCGCTTCGCCGCCGCGGCCCCGGCGGGAGAGAGCGCGCGAGTGTGAGCGAGATAGTGACGGTGGTGACTCAGTGGTGACAGGATGACTGGGTGACCAACTTCTTCTAGTGATTCCAGTGAGTGAAATAGGCTTCCCCTTGGTGACAAGTACACACTGCTAAGCGCCTAAACTTTCCATGGTCCATGCACGTCTTGCTTCCAGTTTTCTTGACGCCTCGGCCGTGCCACAGTGGCTCAAACTGTCCGCCAAAAGGATTCGGGCTGCGGATGTGCGATTCACCGGCTAAGCTTTTTGTGTTGGGGCTTGAGGACTCGACTGTCCACGCGCAGGGAAGACACCAAGACACGGTGTTCCCGAAGGAAATTATACCTGATGCCCAAGCGAGATGTTTCATCCTTTCTATTATGCTAGGACCAAAAGAACCGCGAGAGCCTTTTGGCAAGAGAAGCGAAGAGAGCCTCCCAGCTCTACCAGCACCGTGCTGTCAGCACTAAACTTTAGACACAATGGCTTGGAATCTAAATCCCGACATGAGAGCCATGAAACACACGGCGTTGGTGCGGAGAAGGGCGGCCGTCGCTGCAGTGGCTTTGGTGCTTCTCTTGAGACTAAAGGACACGGGGGGTCCGGGGTTCAGGTCTAAGGATGAGCCTAGCTTTTGGCTCCGGTGTTGAGGTTTCGGGATTCCCTGGTGCTCTGCGGCTTCGAAGCTTGGAGAACTTGTGTGCACAGGACTTCGCCTTTGCCACGACGAAGGGGGCAGCTCCCTTGTCTCTTGATCGGGAGAGTCCATGACATGAAGCGGGTTTCACACTTGTTGCATTGGGCCATTGGGGTTTCTGATTTCGGGTTTGGCCAAAACTGGAACCCTAGACGGTGACAGATTCGGAGCAAGCATTGAACCACGAAGACATCTGAGATGACGTGAAGTGAATCCATTTGTCCACGCCTCTGCCTCCTTTCCGAGGCGTGATTTCAGAGTCGGCCAACAGCTGCGAGGTTCGTGCTTGCAGCCTGCACCTCCACGTCTGCCTTCATCTGTCCAAAACGAGCAAGAACAGAGTCACGTTTAGGGTCTGCCCGCCTTGGGATGATCGGAAAGCCGCAGGTGTTGTGTCCTACGTTGCCGACAAAGTGGCGATGGTGGATGTCGGCGCCGAGAAGGAGGGCCTCATCCCTCTCTCGATGATGGGAGCTGCGACCAGGGGCAGTTGCTTTGACTGCGTTCGTGAAGGTGAAGAAGTCGAAGTCTGGGTAAGTGATATTTCCCATCCGGAGGACCTGCGGCGCAGCAAGCTCGTCCTCTCCATGGAGAGAGAGAGAGACCTTCGAAGCAAACTGGGCCAGTGGCCAATGTCAGCCAATTTCAGTCCAGACTGGGGAAGGTCTGGTTCAATGGCACGGTCAGCCGACAGCAACCTTATGGCATCTTTGTGCAGATCAAGGCACCTGCAGGCGACGGATTCGTTGAGGGCCTCGTCCACCGAACGGAGTGCACGAGCAATGAGACGGTGGGGAGCGAAGTGCAGGTGCGGGCTGTGCGCTTGGATCCCGAGAAGAACCATCTCTACCTCTCCATGCGGCCCGCCTCTGCCAAAGGCGTCGAAGCCAGGCCGCCTGGCCTCAGGGAGCCGTGGGATCCGTGGGGGAGGGTGTTTCCGAAGAATGGAAGGATCCTACTGCTTGGGGTTGGGCCCTCGCTCTTTCCCAGGCTCGCCGCCTTCAAGGACCTGGCGAAAGCTCGCCAGGTGCTCCCGGGCACCGTCGTTCGTCAAAGCGGGAAGTTTGGAGCCTTCGTGGAGGCCTCCGACTGATCGCTGGGCTGCGTCTTCAAGAAAAGAGCAGAAGGGCCGGAGGGTTATACAAAAAAGAGGATGGTCTAAGAGTCTGAGGGCTTGAACCGGTTGTTATGGTCCAGAAGCTGAAGTCGAACAGGGTTACTACGGGGGTCACTACAATGAAGGCCTCGCAATTGGGGCTGGGAAGGCTTGCCTTGCTTTGGGGCGCCACATACACTCGCAGGAGTCTCATGGTTTATGGGGGCTTCTGCAAGTTCGCCAAATGCTTGCCCTTTAGCACTGTTTTTACTATATAGCAATAAAATCTAACAATACTAGCATAGGTCGACACCCCGTAACCCCCACCCTAAAAGCCGAGACTCAGCCCAGAGACCGCGGAAAACCCGTAGAAACTGTTCTCTTCTTACGAATCGGCGTTTCAGCAAGCGGCGCAGAGTGAAGGTTTCCCACCCCGATGGCAGCAACGTCGTTGGCCTCGTGCCATCTCAGGAGAAGGACGGTTCCCAGTTGTTGGTCTGAGGTTGTTGCTCTGACCACTTGCTGGCTAAATGCGATTCTTTATGTCTTGTCCCACCGCTCTCAAAGCATCCGAAGCAGGCCTTGAGGCCTTGAGATCGCTCGGCGGAGCCGTAAAGTCCCAAGCACCCCCCAGGCTTCCGCCACAGGCAAGAAGCCTCGCTAAGCCCATCGCTGTTTGGACCTTTTGGCCCGGAGCAGAGGCCACGAGCACGAGCAGTCTTGAAACAAGGCAGCCGAAACATTGTTGTTGTTATTATTATTATTGTCAGTATTATCCTTATTGTAAATTGTTATTATTATTATTGTTATTATTATAGGTTACAACCTTTCTTTTGAAATTTACTGTTTCACGGGGCCCGCCCTGGCAACGGCTCGCAAGTTCTATTTGCCCAGATCTTGGCCAGGCAGCTGCTGCTCCGCGCTCGCTGGAACACCTACACATCGGCGCCCTGGCAGAGTTCGGGAAAGAGAGACTTAGGAGATCCCCAAACCCTAAACCAGTCGAAACCCTAAACCCTCTGAGAGCGTAAACCCTAAACCCTGTTCAAGACACGACCTAGGAAGGACTTAACCCAGCATCGATGCTCTGGTTTAGGGGGACTGCAGGGCCTGGCATTGAGGAAAGAGATCCGTTTCCCAGCAGAGCAGGTCCAGCCACGTCTTCAGGCGCTTCTTGGGTAGCTAGGCAAGTGCCGAAAAATATAGGAAGACTTGCTGGTACAGAAAGCATCATCACCTTCCCCCATCATTTTCAAGGATAGTTTGCGCTCACCGAAGCTGTCGCCGAGGTCAGGAGCTGACAGGCCAGAGCCTCAGATGGTCGTTTGGGAGACAGGTGGAGAGGGCACTACGTCAGGAGCTGAGGCCGCGCGCAATGAACATGGGGTGCCAGGGTCGGGTTGCAGCGACGGCTTGGCATTTGGGGATCTTTGGCGCAGAGGCTTCTTCAAAGGCTTCTTTGGACCTGACATGGCATTTTGTGGATCAGGTGTGGTGATACGGGTGCAGCCTGTGGTGCTCATTGACGTGGGCCTGAAGATCAGAGGCGTGCTGCCAGCTGGGAAGATCAGCTCCCAGAATGATGCGGACGAGGTGCCACTGCCGAGCTCAGTCGCTGCGTCGGTAAGGTTTATGGGCAGATGCTCGAGCTAAGGATCGCGTGAACCTCGGCGATCGGGTTCAAGTATGGGTCAGCGAGATCCGCAACAAGAGCAGCAACAGGGATCGTCCGACACTGATCCTGGCGATGGAGAAGAACAAGATCTACAGCCTCTGGAACTCCGGGCCGGTGGCGAACTTGGAGGATTTCCAGGGCCTCGATGACCAGGAATGGTACACGGGCACCCTCACCCACAAGATGCAGGCCCTTCCGTTCCCGCCAGAAAATCTGCAGTGCATTCTGCATTCTCCAAGGAAGGCTTGAGGGATCCTGAGCTGTGAGAGCCCGGGGGGTTTAGGGAAGGTGCCCTGGAAGCTGCATACAGAGCCAAGATGGCTGGCGGGTTTTTCAAACATACTTGTAGGCTCAAGGCTCGAAGGGCCGTTGGTTCCGTTGTCCTTTTGGGGGGCCGGGCAACCACCCAAAGGCGAAGCCCTCATATCCGTACTTCCGAAGCCAAGTCCCGTTGTTCAGGCCGGATGGTTCGTGAGTGTTCCCTCCCCTGTGGCAAATGGGGAGCCGCTGAGCCGCCACGGCTTGGTCTACCTTCCGGTGCCTCAGCAGATCCCCAAAGATGATATTTTGCATTCTGACATTTGTGTTTTCGAAGGATTTTACATGGTTTGCAGCGTCTTAGGTTTAACATCCGTGAAATCAATGTTCTCTGAAGCAGGTGCCTCAACCCCAACGTGGCAGTGCACCCCCTTCCAACTTGGGTAAAGCTTGGCTTTTGACTCTGACACTGTTAAAGCCGATAAGTAGTGAGTGGGCTACTACGTCGCATCGAAGGCCGTCAACCATCTGCCTAACAGTCGCACGCTGCAGTCCCCAGCCCCACACATCCCTGAGGAGTGCAAGGGTGATGCTGAGATCGGCTCGTCTGTGAAGGCCGGCATTCGTAGATGCACGAGGGTACACCTGTGCGCACCCTCCAAGCAGGGTCCTGACAAGCTTGGCAAAAGGCGGTGGCCTTCTAGAGATTCGGAGGTCTGAAGCCTGGCCTGAAAGCACCTGTTCTGCACATACCCGTAGCAGGTTCGAGTTCTGGGTGCGGACTTGGAGAAGGGGCATCTATACCTCTCAATGCGGACCTCCCCGCGCCTGGGGCCGCCATTACGGGACAGAAGCAGCTTCAAGACTTCAGGCTTTCGGCTTCAGGTTTCACCGGGGCCCGTTTTACGTGTTCGCAGTGTTAAAAATTTCTGATTGGCATTGGCGCTGCTGGTGCCAGAGCATATTGGTTTGGAGATGAAAAAGGCTGCGGGAAGACGTTGATCACTTCGGAAGTGTGGATTTGAATTCCAGGGCGCGTGGAGGGCCGTCGGACCTGCTTTGAGGAAGCTGGAGACTTGTACCTGTGTGTAGCGCGATGAAGAGTCCTCGTAAGAGCTCCACAGTAGAGTGTCTTTGGCTTCAGCTTGCGGGTTTCGGGGGTTAGGGTGTGGGTCTGCATGTCAGGATCGACTCGGTGGGGGTTACTTTCGATGTCATTCTCGCACTCTTGGCTAGGCAGGTGCAAATTCTTTCGCTGTTCGTGTCCCGTTGTGTTGTGGTGCAACATTCGCCCTTGTCGTGTTGCTTTTTCCCCAAAAAAGCACATCGATGGGTTTCAAGTGGGCTGAAAGTGTAAAGTGGGAGGTTCCAGGACAGCCTTTCCGGCAAGCCGAAGCCATGAATGGAAACAGGCATCCGCACCCGCGCAGCAAATGACTCTAACGGCAGGCCGCTGAGAGGCACCGAGGCAAAGTTGGCGCTGATCCTTGGCAAGTTTTGGGGTTAGGGTGTTAGGGGCTTAGGGTTTAGGGTAAGAGGTTTTCACTTCGGATGACCGGTCCGATCAAGGAATTTGGGCTTGGCTGCATGCATTGGGGAGGTTGCGGGCACGGTGTGGGTTCTCTTGCCTTTCAGCAATTGTTGAGGAGCCTCCGGTTGACGGATTTGACAAGATGTAGCGAGCTTGCAAGGCTCCCATGGATGTTGTAAACCACGTGGGCAAGTCTTGGGCTTGATACTTTATACGTGTCATCTTACCAGAAGCTCGTGTTGAAGAGGAAGTACCCCATAAATCGCCGCAACTCATGAAAGGTGATCTATGGGTCTCTTTCTGGGGTCCTTGTGCGGAGTGATGTTCTCGGTGGATTCAACAGGGGATATCGGATAACTTCTACCGTCCATGCCAAAGGCGTATTCGTTGACCAAAGCATCCCAAGTTGTGTTTTCTTTGGTTGAGACTACACAAAGCTTCCCTCATGCTATGGTCAGAGCCTGGCATTTCTTAGCATTCCTTGAAGGTCTGAGCCTGTCACGTCTCGGCCCAAATTATTGATGAAAAAGTCTACATCTTGGCCAGTCGTGCACCAGGCACCCTTACCTACCACAAGGGTCCGATGAATAAGGGTCGACGGATACCCCATGTACTTCCAGGCTTTGCCCGGCATGCCACTGTCATACCGATCGCCAGTAGACTTAGCGATGGGCTCAAGGGCTTTCAATTTCGGAGTGCCCCGCAGGCAAGGCATCTTCTTGGATCTAAAGCCGAACCTCAAGATTTTGAGACTGCAGGGATACGTAGGCTTTTGCATGTGCTCCGAGGTACCGAGACCTCACGGACCACTGGTTGGAGGGTCGGGTGAAGAGCTTTGGCACCGGCGGAGCCTACGGAGCCTCCGTTGAGGTTCTCCGAAGGGTACCGTGAAAAGCCGCCCAGGATCCATGGAGTTTTTTTGAAAAGGGAAGTTTCGTGGATTCTGACGGGTGGCGTGCTTCTCGGCTACCTTCCTGTGTGCAGTTGCAGGTTCGACACCCTGCTGCCGGGACGATGGTTGGCATCTTGCCGAAGGCCCCGCCTTGTAGGATTTCGGCAGAGACCAAGTTGAGACCAAGAGGAAGCTTGAATGCAACAGCTGCCGGAGGAGACTGTAAGCACGCTTACCTTTCATACGCCCCAATGATCTCTCTAAATAGTGCTCCGATCGCACACTGACAACCTTCCTCCCTGCCTGGCTGGATGCGCATGTCTGGGCAGGGGGCTAGCATGGCATGTCGAAGTGGGTGCCTTCTACGATGCATCACGGTGATGCGATGCCCTACAGCCATTTGATGCTCCAGGCGCAGATGGATCCAGAGAAGCAGCTGGTCGTGGATGGGAAGATCCAGGCTGGGGTTTGGGTGTTTTTTGACCAAGGTTTCAACGGCCTTGAGCTGTGCATCGCCCCAGAAGATGATGAGCTTCAGAGATCGGATCCGCCCATCATTGGGAGCACCGGCCGAACTTTAAACAGCGAAATGACTCGGCCCAGAAGACAGGTGCGAGTCTGGGATGTTACGGACGACCGCCTCTTCCTCTCCATGCAAGAGAAGGTGAAGGAAATGCCGAAGGCCTGTGGAAGCATGAGCATGTCATGACATCTGGTTCTTGCACTTCTATAAAGTGGACAACCCAGTCGGATCGTAATGTCGATTATCCGGTCTACCGCTGATGTCCGGGTCAGACCTTGTTGGACGAAATATGTGCGCCGCAAGGCAAAGCGACAAGGCTTGACATTCGGTTCGGTGATGTGCAACTGAGCCCGGGCTTCTGGACACAGCAGGTTTTCTGGACGTGTTGTAAGGGCTCTTGACGCCCTTTGGATGGACACCGAAGGTTGGAGTTCAGTAGTTCCCGAGAACCACGGAGGAAACACATTGCTGTCACTTGCTTACTTGCTCCTGGCACCCGCCACCCGGCAAACCATGATGTCCCCCAAATCCAGAATGCCAAAAACAGCCTGAAAGTCGTCGGGACGAATGCCTGCGCAGCACTTGCAAAGTGTTAGACCCAAACAGCGTTAGTTTGACACCACCCTGGAGAGCACACCCTGCTTTGTGAGTTCGTCTTTGCCGATGAAGCGAAAGCCTGAAGCCTAAAAGTCGAAGCCTCCAGTCGTAGGATCCTTGAAGTACCCTAAATCTCAAACGCGAACTAAAGGCCTCAACCCTCAACCCCAAGCCCTCCGTAGCCTAAAGGCCGAAAAAAACCCGTAAGACCCCCCCCCCCCTAAAGCCCGAAGCCCCAAATTGGTTTCTGCAGGAGTTCCTGGCCTTGGTAGAGGACGAGCTCGGGAGCGCTTCCGCCGTGGAGCTGCTGGAAGAAGGCCGTTGGGACCTAGAAAAACGGGGAGTAGTCTCACTTGAATATAGGTTAGGAAGTATGTATGGTGCAGTAGAGTTGTAGGGATGTATATACCTTTGTAGCAATTGCAGAATCGCAGTAGACCTTGTGTTATAGTAGCTCTTATTGAACTAGGGTAACCCATGACTTCTAGAAGCCGCTTCTGGAAACGGTAGTATCCTTTCCAGTTACGTAGCCTTTGCAGCCCTTACACCACGACCTTTTCCAGGAATAGTTTCGGTTATGGATGCTGGGTTTTCCTGTTGAAACCCAGGGTCAGAAGAGGATTTTTGTTCGAGAACTGTGGGTTCTTCGGGCTTCGGCGGTGTCACCGTGGTGGGTTCTCGGCTTCACAACCACTCATACCCTGGCCACTGCAGCCACCACCATTGCCACGACGACGCTGCCAGTCCCAGTGATGTTGGTGCGACTATCTCCTTTCTTCTTCATATCGTCTAATTATCGTGTAATTTCCTGTGTGGTTGCTGTTGTTGCTGCTTCATCCGCCATTTGGGCGCCATTCTCGTTGAGATGTCAGCTAGCTGGCTATGCACTCAATGCCTGCGTATCCTGCGAGGCGAAATTGCCACGGGTAGTAACGGGTCCTAGCACATTGACCGGGGACTTCGGCTTGTGAGCTCTTCGCCCAAAAAACGGTCACTAAGCCACATGCACACGAAGATAGATAGATAGATAGATAGATGCATAACCATAATCATGCCTGTGTATATATATATATATGCACACATACACACACACACAGATGATACATATATATATATATGCATGCCCAGCGTTCATGCTAGAGCCCTCCAAGTGCAGCAGCCCTCCAGACATGGCTGGGAGAGATTGTCAGGTCAGAAGGTCGACGTTCGCGTGACGGACGCTGGCAAGGAGGGTTTGAAGCTTGCCCTGTGCACATGAAGGAGTGTAATGTTGAAGCAAGAACCCCTCTACTGCTTGTTGTTGTTGCAATGGCTCACGGTGGTTGTCATGGTGGATGTGCGAACATTAGCTCATGATGTGCTGTTAGCTGCGCAAAGGGGCACAGAGCTGAGTGTCTTAATGTAGGAAGCCATTTTCGACACCCTGCCGTCGTGTACATATTGTGGGCCCGCAGGGCGCAATTGAAGTTCTGTGCATCCCCAAGGGTGCCGGTACCGGGCTCTGTCAAGCCTTGGCAGCTTGGCAGATCCGAGGTACAAGTGGCAATCTTCGTTCCTGTCCGCATGACCACTTGCGTGACTGTCCTTTTCTGCATGCATTATGCATGGCACATATAGTTTCGTGACTCTACACCAGAACTCGGCAAACGCCACACTTTCAGGTTTTCGCTGTTGCCCAATTGCAGGTTCCCGCAGGGGCATGGAGGGTTAGTTGCATGTAGTGTAAGGGCCTCACCACGCTCCACCCAAGTTTCGCACTTCCTCGCAGTGAGGCAGGTCCTTACATCTACATGACTCGGCCGAAAGCATGCCTCCAGACAGAAAAGACAAGCAGATGCGAGCAGCAAAAGGTGAGAGACCGCGCAGATCTGAGCTGAGGAGCAGCCATCCGATGCCATAGCAGCTGCGCCGCACGCTTGCGAGTGCACACCAGCGCCGACTTTTGCAACGGATTGGGAGGAAGAGGTTTGCCTTGGGCTTCGAGCCTGAGGGTGGCCTGGTCGGTCTGTGACCACTCTGACGACCTTTCATTCGAATGTGAGCGTCAAAAAACTCGAGTCTTTAGAAGATAGACCGGCAAGTTGCTTTCTTCATTGCGACACCATTGCAGGTCGGAACGTGGCACATTAAAGACGACGAGGGGATACGGGTTCCGTGCAGTGGATGTGCATTACGCGTTCGACGAGTGGTTGCTGTGGCTTCGCCAAGCTTCTCAAAGCTGCTGGAATCTGCCAACGGCGTTCTGCCGTCCTGTAGAAGCCTCAAAGCCTAGAGTCCCTAGAGTCCTACAGCGGCCTGTGAGAGAGCTTTGTGAGACAGAACGAACCATAGATGTGGGAGGCTGAAGAGGGCCGATTCCATTCTGAGGGGTGTGACACTTCTCGACTTGAAGCCAGAGGTGCCACATCGCCTCGCCCGGGTGTCAATTGTCCCGGTGAGCAAACCTTCTGAATGGCTACCTTCAGCCCCAATCCTACTACTGTGTTACATACCTTGCCTGGAACTTCCCGACCCCACGCCGCATGGCGCTGGCTGCCCCACTTCTGCCCCGACCCCCGGCTGGGCGCGCCGTGCTCGGCGTGGCTTTGGGGGCCTATGTCCCTTGGCCCTTGACCAGCCTTAACCTGGGCCAGTGAGTCAGGCGTTCGGCAGCACGGAGGTTTGAGGATCAATTAGAGAGGAATATCATCGGCTGTTCTAGACAAGCTCGCTTTCTCAGAAAACCCCCCCGTTAGCATCAGAATGAGTAGGACCAGGGTCTCTTCTAAGTCCACGGCCTTTTCTTGAGCTCATGGGCAGCCACGGCTGCATGCTTTGTGGGCTTACCAGAGGAGATGAAGAAGAGACTCGCACATAGTGACATAGTGCCATTCGGGCCCCATTGTGTTATCCGTTATCCGATATAAGCTTGGTCTGGACCTTTTGTAAAGGATGACTTGCAATCGGGAAGTGCATGCTGGACCTATCGAAGCACGCCTGGCCAGTGAGTGCCGAGTTGCCAAGGTTGCATCTGGAGTTTCTCAGCCGTGGCTTCGATGGCATTTAGTCGGCGCTCGTGCTCGTGGCAATCCTAAGCTGCGACATGAACCGAAGAGCTTGACCGAAGGCGGCAGACCGAGACGGAGAAGAGTTCCAGTGCAAAGAAAGCCCGACAGATACATCCGCAGGCAGAAGCTGCCCGAAGCAAAAACTGGAGTTCCTCTACAGTAATCAACTCCCAAACACCCTCGGCCTTCCACACGTCCTCCGAGAGGCAAAAAACAACCATGTGAGCCCTACAACCCCAGTTAAGCCGAGCCCTAAAGCCTTCGAAAAGCGGAAATTCATCAGTTAACGTCGCCGGGCAACGTTTGGGGTTGTATCGTTTTGAGACGAAGTCATGATGGCGTCTCTGGCATCATTCCTGGCGTTGGTGCCGCTCCTATCCACGGCACATGCCCTTCACGGTGAGGGAGATTGCGGCATGGAGGATTGCACTGCCAATACAGCTTTGCTGCCGGCCAGTCACCTTGTGCAGACTGCCGCTTCCAGGGTCAATCGTACGAACCGAATAGCATCGGCGCCTCTTGCACTGAAGGCGGAAACTGAGGAGTTGAGCTACAGCCGCAGATTCCGACATGCCGTGGCCAACCATGTGGTGTTGTCACCTGTTCTATTTGCCAGCTTTGCAGTCTTGGTTTCCATTGTGGGTGCCTACCTCGTGATGTACCGACTCGAACATGTGAAGGTGGCTCATGACCTCGTCGGGAGTTTCACTTCAGAAAGATGGTGGCTGATTGTGATCAGCTGCCTCGTGCAGGTCGTGTCGAGCTCCATATACGGCATCGGCGCCTGGCAAGATGAGCTCCGCGATGTCCTGGGCATCTCCATGAACAGCTTGACCTTGATCGGAGCTGCATCACTCATGGGCTTGATTGCCAGCCCGGCGGGCGGCGCCATCTACGATGCGATGGGCCCGAGAGCTGCGGTTTTGTTAGGCAGCTGTCTCATGGCCGTCGGCTACTCCCTGATAGGCTTGACGACTGTTGCGGCAGGTGTCCTGCCCCCGACACTGATAGTTGCCCTTGCTTCACTGGGCTCTCTTCTGGCCGGATATGGCAGCGAGTGCCTGCTGGACAACACTGTGTGCATGGCATGTTCGGAGTCCTTCCCGCAGAACCGTGGTGTTGTGGTGGGGTGCGTGAAAGCAGCCGTGTCCACAAGTAGTGGGCTTTGGGCACTTGTCTGGGACCACATGTTCGAGAAGCCCAATGGGCCAGGTCTGCCGAGCTATCTCGCATGCATGGCCATGTCCTCCTTTGGCATTGGCCTCCTCGCGCTGCCAGGAATCAAAGTACTTCCTCGCGGCGAGCCGCGGCAACCGTTCGACTACCAGGACCACAGCCGCCTCATTGTTCTCGGCACTATGCTCACCGCACTTGCCGTCTATGATGTGGTGATCAGCTTTTATTTATCAGAAGGAAGTTTACAACCTTCACGGACACTGGGCTACTCTGGCATAGCGCTGCAGATGGCTCCCCTGGGCATCTTGTTGACTATCCGTGGGTCTCAAAGCCCAGAAGAGCTCGAGGCTCTAAAAGAAGAAGCCAGTTCGCCCAAGCGTGAGGTGCGTGGGGTGCCTTTTCTTGTGGCAGCACAGGGGCTGGATTTTTGGCTACTTATCCTGATTCAGTTCGCACTCGTCGGGGGCTCCCTAGGCATCTTGCAGAACATGGCCCTGGTCATGGAGAGCGCAGGCCACTCCAGAGCAGCCAGCGTTGGCGTGGCGCTCTTCTCGTTCACCTCGGCGTTGTCCCGGATTCTCGTCGGCGTCTTAAGCGACAAATACAGCAAGTATCTCACCCGCTTGCACTGGATCATCTTCGCAATGGCCTGCGCTGCCCTGGGATTTTGGTGGATGAGCTTCATGGACATCCACAGCATCATGCTGGGGGCACTGCTGGAAGGTTTCTCGCTTGGATGCTTCTGGGTGACAATGGTCCCGCTGATCAACGAGATGTATGGCAGCCTTGCTTTCGGGAAGATTTGGCTCACGCAGGTGGCCAGCCAATCTTTGTCTTCCGCGGTCAGCATCCTGTTGTTCCCGGCTTTCTACCAGCGGGCGGCAGGAGGCAAGGCAATCTGTGTGGGTGCTGACTGCTTCCGGATGTCCTTCCTCTTGATCGCCATGCTCGACATGGTCGCACTGGCGGCAGCCGTCCTCCTGCAGCTTCGCAACAGTGGCTCCAAGCCACTGACCCGCTTGCTCTCCCATTGACATCTGGTAAGAATCTATCTACACTGTTCTTTCGACATGTTAAGACACGTCCTGATACCAAGCCAGGCGTCTTTTTTGAGCTAGGGCGAATGGCACCAAAAAAAATGTCCCAGTAGCAACCTCGGACGTCGTGCGCCATGCCTGCTCTGCGAGTGTGTGAGTCGAAAGCCTCAATCCCCGGAATATGCCCTCGACAAGGCTGCTGATGTCCGAGCTCAGACGGGCAGGCCTTGGCGACCCACGCTGTCAACTTTACATGGTGCCAAGGCTTGGATTCTGCTATTGGATGGTTTCCGAGCATTTAGGCCCATTTAGGTGCTCGTTTTTGAAGGCTCCTCACATAGAAGGATCGGGTTTCTAGCAGATCCAGGGTCCCCATATCTTTTCAAATTTCTTCAGCTCGATGACGTTCAGCGTTGATAGAGGTGCCTGGATACAACCCGTGCATTTATTTGCCCCGTTTTAATCTCCGTTTGAGCAAGATGCTCGATGCGCGGTGTGGCCTGGCAAGCACATGGGAGTCCAAGGCGTCGCAAAAAGGCGCAGCAAACTTCTATATAATTATTCGCAGAACACAACATTCGGCAGCAGTGGCGAGCTGAGACTGTTGGGTAAAGACATCGGAACGTGTGAGCATTGCGCGTTCGCGTGCAGCATCGAAGCGGAGAGACAGCCCCTAGCGGCACCCCAGCCGAGGAGCCCCCGCAACAAAACTCAGAGCCGAAGAGTCGCTCTCAAAAAGGGAAAGAGGAGAGACAGAGAGAGTTTTTTCGTCGGAAGACCCAGGTGCCTTACTACGCCGGCATGGCATGCACTGGCTTGCTCCATGTCTTCAGCAAATCCAAGGCCAGCTTCAGGGGGTGGAACCACAGTCCAATTCTCAAGCTCTCTCGCTTAGATGATGTTATCATTATCTGTTGGCACGGATGGCATTGGTTGCATGACTACATGCCTGACTTACATGCAGCTTCTGCCAGTGCCAGGTCGCGACCGCGAGTTTCAGCTTACCGCAACTTGCAACCTGCGCCGGTGTCGTGGCTCGCCTTCTCTGCTTCCTTTAACAAAAGCAGGGGGTTGGACAAATGGTCCCGACGGGCTGGGCTCGCAGGGAGGAAGCCACAGTTCCCAGGCTTCTTGTGACAGAGTCATCTCAGCCGTATGCTTTCGGTTTCACCGCCGTTCCAGAGTATGCTTGAAGTATTTATATCGAGGATGTACAGCCAGAAGGACCGCGATCTGGAGTTGCAGTATGTCTTATCATTTGACACCTTCCAAGCCTTTTTCGGACGCAGGCGCTTTTCGGCATCTGCGCGCAGAGTTTGACGCCCGGTTCTTCATTTCTGAACTGAAGCAGGGTTTCCAGTCGCTTTGCGCGACTCCTCGCTTTGAAAGTGTGGCTCCTCGCACGTGGTTGACAGCCTTTTTCTTTGGATCCGTTTGTGCTTATGCAATGGGCAGTGCGGGATGGTGGAGCTCGTAAGTGGCAGCTAGTGGCCTGTGCATCCTAGGAACTGGACTGGCAACATGCTGGAGTCTTGGCGAAGCACATGCATCATAAGGATGTGGTTTGTGAGGCATCTGCTAGGTCTTCGTGCTTGAAGTAAAAGTCAGGAGTCATGAGACACATGGTGCTGTTCCGTCCCAGACTCACTAGACTAGTACTCCGCATGGGGGTGTAACCCCGCTACGGAAACCTCGAAAACAGAGCAGCAGAGGCTGGCAGTTCGATCTTTGCCGTCGTCTACGCCTCGGTCACCATCTGGTCTGCTGTCCTTTCCCGGCTGCTGCTGGAGTGGCCTGGACTTGCTGGAGTCTGGCGGTCTGGCGTTGGGGCACCCAAGACTTGCGCCCTTGAGAGACTGCTTCCGAGACCACAGGAGAGAAGGAGTGCTAGACTTTTGTCGGGGCAGATCTTAAGTCCCCTGCTTTATTCACCGGAAGCCTGAACACCTCGGCAGACAGCACGTCTGTGTGCAGAAGCCTCGTGCGAGTACTATTTTAAAGGTCTGAATAAACTCCACACTTCGAAGAAAGCTTTGCCAGTGCTCCAGGCGAGTGCTGACGCAGTGCCAGTGGCTGAGCATCTTTGCCGTCTTCTCGGGATTGGCCGTCGCAGGAGTCGATGCCAGGAGCCTCCTGGGGCCGCAGACGTTAGTAGGGATCCTGGTAAGACCTCAAAACAGTACAGTAACTGCAAGATTCCGCGCCGCCACGCCCTCCTCCGCCTTGGGATGTGGTGCTTCCACAGCGGAGGAGCACCGGCGAAAGTATTTTTCTTGGCACCTGCATGATTGGAGCAGGCGGGCATGCTAGTAGTGGCTAAGTGTCATGTCGGGCTTCCACAATGTCGGAATGCTTCGGATGCCCTAAGAGCCACCTGTCCCATAGGTAGCCAACAGTGGTCTCCGATCGTTCCCTGCTGTTCACCTGCTCGTCAGCACGGAACTTTTTCAAGGACAGTTTCCAGAATGACACGTGAGAAAGTGACGAGCTTGAAGACATTGCCAGAGATGAGGGAGACCAAAGACGCGAGTCTGGTCGAGCAGGAGTGGAGGCAAGTTCCGTGACAGGCACCGTGCTCCACGCGACTTGCCACGTCCTGTCGGAGATGGTCTCCGTACGAGGAGCCAGGACCCGATTCTTTCAGCTTTCCCGATGACGTTTCCTCCAATTCATCCTGGAAGCTTCGAAGATGGGATGTCGAAATGCTCCAAGGACCTGTGAGCTTAAAACAAACTGTGCCCGGCACTTTGGGTTGCAACCCGGTCTTGTTGTCTTGTTCTTCCGACTGTGACTTCGGCGTTTGTGTCGGCTGAGGTCTTGTCGTTCCTGTCCCTTCGTCTTTTGCTGCCTGTGCCGGGTCTTTGCACTTAGGCGACTTAGGGAGTCTAGCACACTCTAGCACGTTGCCGTCATGTCAGTCTTACATGGTCTTACTGCCAGTGAAATACATCCATGGTCGCGAACTTCGGCGAATGCATGGAGTAGCTGCCCCTCAATCACCAGCCTGCGAGATTGTGCGGGCCTTCACTGTTCGTCGTGTTTGTTCTTTGTCGAGCCTTCAAGCAGCCTTACATAGCAGAGAAATCTGATTCTTGCAATCACTTCTCAGATCTCTTGTCGTGACACGCCTGACATCCGCGGGGCTCGAGTCCCAGCAGGATCCCGGCGCATTTGAACGCCTCGATCCAGGGTCTCACCGGCTGCGCCGTTGTAGGACGCTCGGGGCTCGACTTTTGCGGCTCTGAGGGCCTAGAGATTTAGGGCAAGTTGGAGTCTTGGAGTAAGGTAGCTTTGTATACCAACATGCAATGGCCTCTTAAGGTCTAGAGTCTACAGTTTATGTATATCCCTATGCATGCATTATGTTCAGAATCCCCGCCTTGAAGGGCGAGCAAAGTCTGAACGATGATGCGTTGGCAAAGCTTGACGCTTCACCACAGGTTGACATTCTGTCGATTCTTCTCCGGGCAGCTCTCGAACAGGAGCTTGGCAGCTCACGTTTACAACTTCCCATTGGTCACGAATAACGGAACCGATGGCTGAAGCAACGCGGCGACTTATTCAGTGGTGCACCCACAGGATTCGTTTCAAATTTCGAAGCTCTCCGTTCTACACACTGGAATTCAGCGGGCTTGCGGGCGTGCGGGTGTTGTTCCGAAGCCTCCGGCTTGTCGTGCACGCAGATCACGAGCACAAGTGACTAGAAGAGCGGACTGCGATGCTTCTTCAACCAAGTAGAAGTAGAAGTTGTAGTAGTAGTCGTCGTCGTGGTGGTAGTAGTAAGTCGGCATCCAAACCCGGCTTCTTGCCTAAGCCAGTGCCAAGGTCGACACCTCCTGGTTAGAAGCCTCCTTGCTTCTTGCTGCCGTGGCGCTGGGAAACTTCGTTCATGCTCTTCGTTCCGCAGGATGTGCCAGGGACTCCTTAAGGAGGGAGGCCCAGGGAGGCCATGGTGCTAAAACTTGAGACGCCCTTTCTGGTCCCTTCTCACCCGACGGGCGTGGCACCAAATCATCGGCTTCAAGGGCACAGCCATGATGAGGGTTAGTCACGGTTAGTCCTCCGGCTTAGCATCCAGCCCAACCTCTTCGATGAAGTCTGAAGTGAGTCCTCTACCCGACTCTACCCTCGCCCCCTGAACGGTACACCCGGTTTCATCTCCGGCACAGCCAGCTGTGGACTCAACTGGCACAGAAACACCAACAGTTTATCCAGATCGCTTGTAGCATGGATTGGAGCTGCGTCTCAGACACCAACTGAGGCTGGAACCTTCTTCTACCTTCTCACACGGGTGCCTTGATTGTTCAGGCTTCTGCCCATAGCCGCAACTCCCAAGGCAATCCTCACAAAGCTATGCACATTGCCATCTTTGCTGGCAGTACCCAAGTCCATTGCTGCCAAAATGAAAGACCTGAAGAAATCTCAGGTCGGAGCCGTGTCCACGGGCGTGGCCAAGGCGTTACAGGGCGTCGCTGTTTTCGCGCTCTCCCACCTGCTGTACTGCAGGACACCTTGGGCAAAGTGTCGCTTTCGTGTGGGATGGAGACCGTGCTGGTTTCAAGCCCTCGGGGGCACGACGAAAGTTAGAGCCGAATTCTGGACAACGGCACGCGAGCTTTTGCAATGGACACGGTCGGCTAGCATCTCATCTGCTGAGTAGATCACGCGATCCCGGCTTGACCGTGGGCGAGTCATGCTCTGGAATTGAGTACAACGAGTACAACCATATGTATATGTATCATATTTCAAGGCTCCGCCTAATCTACAACTTCCGAGTGCTGGCGGTGATTTAAGGGCTTGAGAAGTTGGACTGTTCCCAAGCCTTCCTGGCAATGACAGGGGTGGTAGGCCAAGGACGGAAATTTGGATGGGTGGTCGTTGAGACACCCAGGAAAAAAGAGTGTGGGGCACACTGTCCCGAAGCACAGTGCGGAAGACTCCAAAAAGAAAGAGAGACCTCTGACCTCTCTGTCTCTAGAGAGGCAAGACGCATCGCAGTGCTTCTCTCCAGCGAAGACCCTGCCCGGGGCCTCAGTACCGTGCTGGCCATGCCGAGGCTGCCGAGGCTGCCTCGGCCTGGTTTACTGTAGCGAAGCCGCTTGACAAAGCAGGGGATGGCGATGGAGAATGGAGAGCCGATTTTCAGTCAAAGCGGACTGGTCCAAGCGGAAGTCTCTCTGCCGCCCCTGCCCCTCCCTCCCTGCCTCTCTCTCTCTCTCTCTCTCTCGCTCTCGCTCTCCCTCCCCTCTGTTGGATCAGAATCAGAAGCCCGCTTCCCAAGGTCACTGCTCATCGTCACAGCCGGAGTCGTGAGTTATGTGCTTGCGACCAGTGCCCGGAGCTCTGCCAAGCGGAGCAGCCACTCCTAGCACATCCAAAACAGATCTCCCGCATCACCTGGTGGGCTCGCAGAGTCTTCGCACCGGGGGCCTTTTGCACAAATGCCTCTGGGGGCTTATCGTGGCACCATAGAAAAGCAGCTTTGCTGGGAACGCCGTTTTAGTCAATTTCCGAATAATCCCCCTTCGACGTCTCATCTTCAAGCCTGAAATTTGAACACTTTTCTCCTGATCCCATGCTGTCTGATGACGCGCCCGTTGTGGCGAAGGGGTGATAGTTCATGTTCTTAGCTTAGGCTCAGGCTCTGCAGCCTTCTTTCCAGGATTTCATGTAGGTCCTGCAGCTTTTTCAACTTGAAGATGAGCTGGGTGATTTGAATTGCAATTGAAGGGCCCGGCTCAAGGCGAGAGGAGATACAAGCTAGTCTAACCTCTTGAAAATGGCAATTCTGTGATCTTGCACATGTAGTGACCATGTAGTACTCCGCAGAACTGGCTTCTGGAGTGCCAGTGCGCAAACCACCGGGGGCTTCTCAAGGCATCTTTTCTCAGTATCATGTGCACAACCTAGTAGAGTAGCAGGGTTAGTTGTAACTTTTATCTTTTCTTAGATGTACCTTTCTCGTTTTGCCCAATGACCCCACCTACCCTTAAAAGCTACATCTGAGAGAAAAAAGTTACGGGTAAGTGTTCTACCCCCTAGTAGTGTCGACACTACGTGGCGGCGGTTGCTGAGATGTTTAAAAAGAACCCTGCAAGTGCGGCCTGGCCTCGATTCCCGATGGATTCAATTTTCCGTTTTTCGATTTCTGCAAGGACTCGGCTCAACGATTTGCTGGCGAAAAGTCATCTCTGACTGCGAGTGGGTAAGAGCCTAGTCAGGTGAGGTCTCTGCGACTGAATTCTGAAAATTTCGGTGTTTTGGCGCTTACGTCATGCGTCCTGCGCCATTGTGCGCCAGTTGCAGGTGTCTTCTTGATTGACTCCAGGGCTTGCCTTCCCTAAGAATGAGGTCCACGGTCATTGCAGTCGGAGAGAACATGGTAGCATAACATTCCCGCAGATGTTGTCAGAATTGATCCTCTGGCTTGACATGCTTCTTCGCTTCTGAGCCTTGTGATATTCCCATGGACAACCCCACTCACCCGGAAAGCACGGCAGACCTTAGAAACAAGGCCCGCAGCCCTGCTGGGCGATTGGGACTGGCTTTGCTGACGCGGGCTGTTTTCGCGGTGTAGTCACGGTTTGAGTCATGATTGCAATTGAGCAGCTTCAGGAAAGAAAGCCTGTGCGGTTGATGCTTGGGCTTGAACCTGGTGGATCCATGAGCCTCCAGCTTAGAGTTCCGCGAGTAGTCCGTAGCCGCTCTAATTCAGAGTGGGCCACAGCTCTGCGCCTCGAAACATGAAAGCGGCAGCTCTCGAACCCTCAGCCTAGGCCTAAACACCCT